AAAAAAAAAAAAGAAAGGTGGCGAAGGTATAAGAGGAAGAAGAAGAAGAAGAAGAAGAAGAAGAAGAAGATCAGACCGGCAGTCCTCGTCGACGGGCGGCAGTGGATGCTGGCAGGGAGCAGCACGACGATGCATGACGGGTCACGGCGAACACGATGGCGATGGCGACGGGCTACGGGCGACGGCTCTCCCAGGCGATGGCGACGGGCTACGGGCGACGGCTCTCCCAGGCGATGGGACTCCCAGCTGCTTCGATGAACTTCGAACACAATGACGAAGGCAGGCGGCTGGAGGACAGGCCCCGTTTCGAAAGCCGATGCGGACTGCCTCAGGCCCTCCGAAAACTTTGCTTTTCCCTCCAAAAACTAACGGCCCTCCGGCCATCGATCGTGGAGGATCGACGGCCGGAGGGCCGTCAAAAATTCAAAAAAAAAAAGCAGTCGTCACGGGCCCGACGCGCTGCTTTCTTGGCGCGGTCGGACCCGGTAGGCCCTGCCAACAACAACTGGACCCGTTTCGGGGTCGAAAACCCCCCGCCGTGAAGGTGTGCTGAGGGGGCCCGGCCCCCAACCGGGCCGCCCGCCCGGCCAGGCCGCCCGGGACCTCCCCGGGGCAGGCGTCGGTCGGCCGGGCGGCCCGGATCCATACTCAGGATTTTCTTCCTTTCAAAAAAAAAAAAAAAAACATTCCAGGAAAAACGGCTGTCAGTTCCGTCGTTTTCTACTTCCGAAGTAATAAGAAGAGAACGTTTTGAGAAATCGCGACCCTCATCATGACTGAATCTGGCCTGCAAGAACCCTACCATACAGACTGCAATACCCTACCACACACACAGAGTGTTACCCGAACTACAGGTTACTAAAAACTTTCAGGCCAATGCGCAGCCTCCAAAAAAATTTTGGCTGCCCGTTTCTTATTTTACGCGAGCAGGGGGCCGGGTCTACTACCGCCCCTCACAACTTTTTTTTTTTTTTTTGACCCCCATTTTTTTAGGTGCGCCGCATGCAGTGCGCGCGCGTCGTGCGGGATGCGCGGTGCGGCGCACGTGCGCAGTGCAGCGCATCGCGATGCGCCGCAAGTATGAGTTGAATTGAAGAAAGGTAGTCGGACAGTGTTCATGTTCACACACTCAAAGGCAAGAAAGAGGGCCAAAGTACATCAGTGGTTGTCCACCCCTGAAAAATCAACAAGTGCAAAGGGCAAGCTTGCCGGCTGGAGGCAAAGAGAGTGCACTTAAAGAAGAGGGCGCGAAAGGAAGAGGAAGAAGACATGACGAAGAAAGGCATAGCAGACTCCAAGCGGATTGCAGCAGAGCTGACCGCCGATGTGGGAAATAGATTGGCAGCCCTCTCCACATTGCAATCTACTTGGCAGCTCTGTCCACATGGCAACCTGCTCATGCGGATGAGCCGGTCACATTCAGGAAGGAGACAATGTCCACCAATAGCAACTTCGCCATGATTGTGGCCAAGCTGCAGGGTCAGGCACACCACCTTCTTCCTCCAAGAAGACTGCAAAAGAAAAACTGAGGGGGAGCACATATCAAAACCCAAGCTGGAGGTGCCACCCAAATTTACGGGCAGCTAGGATGAGGGTGTAGATCCCTGGTTGTGTGCAAACCGGACCACAGACCTAGACCCAGACAGCCGGACCGTCTGGATCCCGCTCCGAACGTCCGGCCGGTTACCATGGTTCAAATTCTATGAAGTAGATTGTTGAACTTCGTTCACAAAAATATTTGGGATTACAACCCCGATCAGGGGAAAAAAAAAAAAAGACAGAAGCTCAAAAAATTCAAAAAAATCAACATGGATTAACACTTGAGCGAGGATGATACAGAGAAAAGGGAGCCATTCAACTATACAAGCATTGACTAAAACAACAAATCCACAGACAGAACTGTAGCACACAAGCTCGCAGTGCCAGTCCCGAATGAAAGGAACGCTCCTCCAGACACCATTACATCCTCAGGACAGCAAATAGCATGAGGCGTAATTACAGTTCAAACCAAGACTAACATGTTACACTGTTACACTGTTACACTGTTCTGTTACACTGTTACACTGTTACACTGTTACACTGTTACATCCCAAATAAAAGACAGAACCAGGACAAAGTGCATACTCAGCCTAGATCTCTGTCAATCTGGGGGCAATTACGGTGAGATACATCCCAGTAAGTCGCAGTGTGCGTACTCCCTGACCATTCGTTTTTCTGCAAATGTGTCAAGAAGACTCCTTCTCTGTATGCCTATCATCCCATCCCCCCCCCCTCCCTCAACCTGAATCCTTCCTCACCATGCAGGAAGGTCTGATACTCGTATGCCTGGTAGCGTAATGGACTCTCCTTCCAGTCGTGCAGAGCTTCTTCACCTGAATCACAGCACCATGCACCAAATCGATCAGCTGCAGATGATGCTCCACTTCATGTTCTCAGATGATTTGCAATTCTATGATCAGGCCTCAAAGTTGACTCCGGTCATCAGCACATCCTCAACGAGAAGGCTATGTTACTATACTCGAGCAAAGCAGCAGCATCCGAAGTTGACAGGCAACAAACCGGCAGGAACCATGGGCATGTCCAACTCAGGAACTGCTTTGGCAGGTGTGCACAATGCACAATACTAAAATAGACTACACAGACAATCAATAGCCAAGAATATGAATAAACATTGAGCCAAATACCTTGGCCAATATGGCTGAATGGTACAGGCATGTAACTGCAAATGAGCAGATCATGAGTTTGAATCCTGTTGTAATCAGATGGATACAATAAGATAAGGGTCTAACCATTGAGCCGAATACCTAAGCCCATGCAGCTGAATGGTACACGCATGTAACTGCTAATCAACAAATCATGAGCTTTAGTCATGTTGGAATCATACCGATACAAAAAGATAATGGGCTAACCATTTTTCGAAGAAACAAGCATTCATCCAAACGACAGCATAAAGTGAAAAGTGGACGACGGTCTGACAGTAGCTCCAAAATGCATGCAGCCAAGCATGTGCAACAAGTCCTCACACTGCAGCGACCCAGAGCAGCTTCCTGTACCATGCAAAATCACAGGGACAGAACAACCACTGTTTGAACAAACCACCATTCATCCAAACTACAGCATGCAGTGAAAAGTGGACAACAACAGTCTGACAGCAGCTCAAAATGCAAGGAGCCAAGCATGTGCGACAAGTCCTCACACTGCGGCAACCCCGAGCAGCTTCCTGTGTCATGCAAAATCACAGGGATAGCACGGTAAGATATGTTGCCACAGTACTACTGAGGTTCTGACAGAGGACAGGACATAAACCAAGACATTGTGGGATGCATCCAGCACAATCATTCCCACATTCAATCGGCCCTCACTTCATAGCATACCTGCAATGCACTTCTGCGGTGCGCGTGCGCCATGTGCCATGCGCAAATTAGTGATGCGCTCAATTTTTTTATTTTTTTTTCAGGGGTGTGTGTGTGTATACAGGGGAGGGGGGGTGGGGGGGGGAGGGGGAGACAGATAGAGAGAGAGAGAGAGCAATGGATCCCCTTCACACGCATCAGAGGGCCCATACAGGTAATCTGAAGGGTCCTCACAGCAATTTAGCGCAGACCCTCCGCTAAAATCGAGGCAGGCAGTGAATATGAAGTGAAGCACGAGCTGGCCACATATGTACTCAGGATTCGAATTCAGGTCTGTGTTTCAGCAGTTATGGGTTGCTCACTTAGCTAGGCCCTGTTGGTCTCTGCGTGTGATTCTCAGGGCTTGGCCGCACTACTCACCAAATGTGCAAAATTAGAATGAATCTTCTGCTAGAACGTGGAATAATATGCCACCATATGTTTTGTCTTTTGTGCATGTGGGAGTAGATGCCCTTAGGGCGACTGCACGTATTCCTAAGAAAAGAAAAACGAGAAAAAAGAGAATTAGTGACCCATAACCGTAATGCACAGACCTGAATTCCAATCCAGACTATATATTCTCGGCCCACGCATACAAACTGGAAGTCTAAAGTCTATCTCTGCTCCACGTGAGGTCCTTGACTCCTCGCTAATCCGCCGTAGGGGCCCTTCGGAAAAGAGACTGGACACAATTAGGACATGCACACCCACACGCACAGACATCTGCCCACAGCTTTGGGGTATGGTGTGGCCCTGACTTTCTTCCCTCTTGCTTTCTGATTTTTAGAAGCAAGGGGCATGTTTGGCCACCCCACTGTCCTTTCAATTTTTTATTTTTTTTATTTTTGGTGATGCGTCGCATCACGTGCCCGCACGTGCATGCACGTGCGCTCTGCACCACGTGCCGCGACCCTGCGCACGGGATGCGCCGCAAGTATGCTTCATAGTCATCCGGGTCACGGTGCATCCTGCTAACATGGATCAGTGGTGGGCAGCATATACAATCGAGAGTCAGAACAGCATGTTGCAGGACTGTAGAACCATGCGGGATTAGATGGTACTGGTTCACAAGAATGGGGCCAATCAAGAGTGTCAAGCGCTCCCATTCACTCCCAGCAAATAAGAATGGTTCACATCCACCAACGGTAGGGTGTAGGCACCATGGCCAACAAAGGATGGGACATATACGAGCTTGTGAAAAAAGAAAACAGCAAACAGAGTAAGCAGGAAGCCAAGCATGGCCACCACCTACCTCTAAGAATAACAAATGTGATCCCAGCTGCGCCTTCAATGCTGTAGTGAACAACGATCTTTGATTTCGCATAAAGGCGGTAGGCCCACGACTGCACACACAAATCGAATTGAAGATGAGGTGCGACTGCAATTGAAATTTGAAAGACAGAAAGAAAGTGATGCACGTATGCTTTACTGCAATGATCCCACAATTCACACACTGCTTCACAACATCACAAGTTCGCCGTTCATCACACAAGGTGCACATTGACGCAATTTGTGAACACTTTGGAAATTGCTCAGAAGTCCCCAATTCTAAAACAACAGCTCGCATGTGTGCACTTGGGTGGCTACAGCCACCAGACACTCACATACATCTCTGTCTCTCTACTAGTCTGGAAATGACCTCACAAGTTTACATGCCTTCACAAGTCCATCCAAATAAGACACGTGATGCTTACAATATGAGAAACTTGGAATTATTTGTAGAAACGTGCACCCATGCAGTATGAAAGAAAACCTAGCCATGTGGGCATGTGCATCCTGCAGACGAATGATGAACGGCTGAACTCCCAAGCAATTCATGTCGCCAAGTTAATGTTGCTACCTTCTTCCCACAAATACAACGTACGGCAGGGCTGGTCCCCGGTTGGACTGGGGGCCCCTCCCCCGACCGGGAGCCTGCCGATCGCACCGGGCGGTCGACCGGCCCGGCAAGCCCCCGGTCGAACCCAGCGCATCACGCTGGGGGGGTGCAGAACCTGAGATCCACGGTTGTCCCCGCAATTGCTGAGCCCCAGGGAGCCTACCGCAAGGAATATGAGCGAGAACGATAGACAGAAAACCAGGTTGCAAAATCACGAAGTAGTCCACATAGTCATGTACCAAGCAGAGAGCACGATGCACCAAGATACCGTTCAAATAAGAGCAATACAATGGACTCGAGTGCCAATCTCGACGCTCTCTGGTCACACCAACACTGTATCCATTGTCGCCCCTACTGTCTGGGCCCAGCGCCCAGCCTACACTACTCGGCCTATCTATCCTATCTACGTTCTTGCGACTGGATCACATAGAAGTTGAAGACCATGTATGTGGCGTCATCACCAATGCCGACTGCCAGCAGACACCAGGTGCGTTCCCTCTCCTCCCCTCATCACCCCTTGATTCCCTTTGCATACACCTTCTACCCAAAGACCACCATCGACATCACCTGCACCTGCAAGCTCGGCCCAACTACAGCCGCCATGCGCCCGCTGCCACCGCATTGCTCTCTCACCTCTTGTGCCCACGTGCGCCCTGGCCTGGCTGCATAGCGCAGCTTCGCATGGCGTCGCAGCAGCGTGGCCGCATTCCTTGCTGAGGCCAAAATGCCTCTGCCTGGGCAGGGCACTTTCCTTTATGGAAAGTGCAGCCCCGAGTTTGGCTGTGTGGGCCTGGCTGGACAAGTTTCCAGTAACTTCCAGTCGGGCCCCAGTGTCTGTGCCCAGGCCCACCTTTGCTGTTACGGGCCTGGGCACTTTACAGTTGGGCACATGCCGGCTGTCCTCCAGGCTCCAAGTGTTTGCCACATTCTCGTTGGCTCACAGTGCCTGTGTGATGATAATGCTGCTTTCTCATTGGCTCGCGGCCAGTGTGTGATGTGTCGGCCTCACACTGCGTGTGCCCAGGGCGCAACAACCTGAGCCCTGGGCTCAACTGCAAGGCGCAGCTGCTTCTTCTAGAAAGAGCCAGGACAGGCTCATGTTGCTTGGGAACCAACTGGCGTGCTGCAACTACCTGATACCCCACATACGGAAAATGTCGGAAGTAGGCCTCCCGTGGATATTCAGACCCGCCTAAGCCGCCTTCACTTAGGGTGGGCACAATGCTTGCTGGGGGCCACAGCCCAGAACACTTTGCGTCTGTAAGGGCCCAGCGAGGGCTCAATCCTCGCAATCCCATCCCCCTGAGCTTCAAAAGTCCGCTGAGATGCTTCTACGCAGGTGCTTTCCCCTTCAGTCTTCGCTGATACTCAGCCACAATCTGAGGTGCTGTTTTGACGAGCTCCTCCCTTGTGAACCAATGATCTTCCTTTGGGTCTGTATGATGCCTGAATCTGACCCACTACTCCCTCATAGGTTTGGGCGGTCTTCCCTTGCCCACAGGCTTGGGAACAGGCAAGTCTCTATGTTCCAGAATGTCGTCGACGTCCAGAGGGCCATCCATGGTTGGAGGCAATTGATCTCCTTGATGGAAACCGGTCAGTCTCAGCAAAAGGTGCAAGCTCGTAAATGTGAAACACAGGGTATGTGCGCAGATGACCAGGGATTCTGATGACGTCGAGGGTCCATCCAAATCACTACCCACAATATCCAAGACTTCCCAAGGACTGAAATACTGCCGCATTAGTTTCCGAGAGATTCCGAATTCCTGTCCTAATTCACTTGCCTTTACCCAGACATGTTCCCCTACCTGAAATGTGGACTGTCGTTTGTGTTCGTTCTGAGAGGCGATCATTGCCTCTTGAGAATTTCTAATGTGCTCAACAGCCTGCTGCAACAGCTGGTCATACTGGACACCAAACTCTATGCAGTCCGTCGGTTTTCAGGAAGGAGGAAGTCTAGTGCAGATCTAGGCTTCCACCCTGAATGCAGCTGATTGGGACTGGCGCCGGGAGTGCTGTGTGCAGCGTTGTTGTACTGGCAATGAGAGGAAGTTTCTGATCCCAGTCATCCTGGCTGGGGTTGATAGGAAAGCACCGACGATCTCATCAGTAATCGGGAAGGGGTCTATGCATCTGCACAACGCAGATTTCATTCTACGACATAGAGAGAACTCCCGCCTACGGGGTATTTAATATTGGATCTTTGGACTTCCAAGTTTTCGAAAGTTTATTGACTAACAAAAGAAAAAACTCTTTTCAGATCCAAATGAATTATGTTGCTATTTATTTCCATCAGAAATCATAATAATATGTATCATATTAATCAAATTATATTAATAGTGATTATATATTCTTCTATATATCTAGTATGCGAGGCCACTGCCTCTATGTGCCCCATTCGGCCACATTTTGGAGCAAGTCGGCCGCCCTAAGTGAAGGCAGGCTCGACGGGGCCCTCAAGGCCCTATTTTCGGCCACTGTGCAACTAAGGAAATTCAGGCAGTTGCGCAGCGCCAGTTGGTTGAGAGAATCCAGGCCCTGGGCCGTCTGTGTGAATGAATGGAAAGCAGGTCCTGGGCTGGATACGGGTACTGGGTCAAAACAGGCCAAAGGCAGTTGGGTGCATGCAACCACCTCAGGCCCAAGGCCTGTTCTCGTTCGTGCTGGGCCTCAGGCTACCGGGGCCTACTGGAAGCTTCCTGGGACTGAACACAGGCAGGCCACTTCGATATAGCAAAGGGCCTGCCTCCAGATCGGGCATTTGGGTGCTGGCTACATCCTGCGCTATTTGCTGGCTAGCGCTCACGCGCTCACGGGCGAGCAGGAAGGAGCAGGCAGCCATACCCGAGCTGTGCTGCTGTAAGCTGGGTGTGGCGCAGGGTGGTCCTTGGGTGCAAGTGGCATCTGTGTGTTGAGGAACGAGGTTGTCAGTGAGGCGAGAGACATACCTGGTGCTGGAAGCGTTCGACATTGGTCGCTGTATGCTCGTACTTCGGGAAAGCTGTTGACGTCATCTTCGGCATTGTAGTTTAGGCTAGATAGGATCTGCCATCTGTAGTCTGGGCGCCGAGCGCCAGATACGTTGATGATGATGATGAGACTTTACCAGCATTGTCAATTATGAGCTCTTGGTGTGTTCTTATTTGGTGAAACTCGTGATGCAATTCTGCTGTTGGTTCGAGGTCACGACTATCTGGTCTTGTGTATATGATGCTKTTTGATTGCTGAAGTTCGCTATTGCTCATCTTCCTTGCAATTTGGTATCGGAGCTGTGGTACGATTGCGCTCATCTGGCGCTTGTCTTCTGCCTAATGCGGTACATACATGCGGTCTGCTTGGTGAGTTGGGCCGTAAGTGGTGTGTAGTGAGGAGGGCCGAGACGAGTGAGTGGCTACCCAGGAGGTGAGGGGATCGCCAGGAAGGCTACGTGGTGTAAATGTGGGTCTGGACAGTGTGATGAGAACTATCTGATGTGCGATTGGTGCTGAGGTGGAACGGCGTGCAATGCTGGTTGTGCCGAAGCAACGACTGGTCATCACAATCGGCATCAGGTCATCTGGTGAGATTATCTCTGTGGTTGGGGGCAGCTATTTGAGGTACGTTGCTCTTAACCTTATCTACCCTCTTCGACACTTCTTACCGTGAGGTTGTGTGTTCCTTCTTGAGAGTCCTCTCATTGTGAGGTGTCGAGTGCGCTCAACCTTGAGAGTCAGCAATGTTCACGTGGAGCATCTGGGAGAAGATGGGCGGAGCTTTCTGAAGGGCCCTGGACGCAGCACTGGGTCACGGTCACCATGCCAACCCACCGGGAGTAGAGCACGCATGCTTTGCTGCTTGTCCTTTGTTCAGCTTGCTGCGCTGTTAGATGGGTACTGAAGGGCAGGCCAGCCCAAGTGGGAGATGAGAACCGGGCGTCTTTAAATAAACACCGGCAGGGGAAATCATTGGCTGTGATCGTCGTCCTGCTGCGACGTAAAATAATTCCTGATGACACTTGGGGGCGGTCGTTAMATTGCCTCTGGATCAGCCAATGGTTGTAAGGCTCGCTGCACGCGAGGATAATCCAGTGCAGGGCTGGCCAGCTCAGCAGATACTCGGGGCACAGGGGTGGGCCGAATACACACCTTCAGCCCTGCTCAGCAGATACTCGGGGCACAGGGGTGGGCCGAATACACACCTTTTAGTCACGCAACGCTCTCCGGATTGCTCAGGGACGCTGACGTCAAGTGACATTCAGGGGAACTAAGGGAGGGGTAGATTTCAGGTGATAAGTTCGAGAAAAAATCCACACAGTCCAATCCACACAAATGATTCTATTTTTATGTCTTGATCAGTTAGATGTACAGCCATATGACATCTGACAGACAACATAATTAGAACTGTCATTGTTCATTGTGCATTCTGTTTGCGGACTAATCAGACTAAACATAGTTTCGTTTGTAGGAATCTGACTTACCTGTTGGACCCGAAGAGTCTCTGCCATAGCCACCAATTAAGTAATTATTTATTGGAAACTGGTATGTGCACTACACTGCGGTAGGCATCCAGGGTGCACTAGTGCAGATTGTGTAGAGTGCTGTAGCTTATGAGCGATAGGGAGGATACTAGAGAGGACGACCGGATCTAGCGATCGGCTAGACGCCCAGTTGCCCATTTGGCATTAGGTCCAGAGGGTGACAGATACCTGTTCCGCCAGCGTAGGGAGAGGCAGCAGCAGCAGAGGAGAGCCAGGGCCGAAGAGGCAAGCAGGGCGTTCGTAAGTGAAGCTGCAGCTTCAGCAGCCATGGCCACTTCTGCGCAGCAGAGTTCCCAGGCTAGTAGTTCAGGATCTATAGGGTCAACAGTCGCGCAGACCCAGAGTCAGTCCACTGGTGTGATGGCAAGCCAGCCAACAGTGTTAACTTCCGATGAGATCGCCATACAACAAGCTACAGAAGGATTTAGGAGAGATAAAACCGGAGAAAGAAAGGATGATTAGAACAAGAGTCGGGATACAGTGGAGACAAGCGGACGTTAGTGAGTTAGGGGAGATGGACCTGATGCACGTGACTGACGATGTGAGGACCATACGGTCCGTCCTGCTAAATGTAGTTGAAATGCAGGACCATCAGACAGCCATCCTTCACGACATTCAGCAAAGTCTGGCCCTGATGGTTGGCTGAGCGCAGGCAACGTCACCAATGTACGGGCCTGGTGCCTGGCCCGTTGTACAGCCTCCTCCTTTTGTCCCACCGGTGACTGGGGTATCCCCATATGTAGCTCCATCATCGGTCGCTGTCATTTCCCTGGGCATGCCGCTATAAGGAGGGTTATCAACAAGATCTAGTTTGCAGGTTCCTGTACAGACAGTGTTTACCCAATCTCGGTTGCAGGTTGCGGTTACCTTGCAGCCTGCTGTCTCGCAACCTGTGCAGCCGCAGGGTACACAGCCCCAGCAGCTAGCACAGCAGCCTGTGTCATAGGGTCCACAACCCGAGTGATGCAGGGACCGGGGCAAACTCAGTGGGTACCAAAGACGGCCATCGCCGCTCCTAAACCCTTCACAGGGGATAAGAGAGGCAAAGACCTCGACACATTATTGAGGGCAGTGCCGGTGTATGTCAAGTGTAAGCTTACCTTGTCGCACGAGGAAGTGCTTGTGGCTGCATCCTATCTAGAGGGTAGTGCAGCACGATGGTTGAGCGGTTTGGTGCAACTACAGGGGTACGGTCATGACTTCCGCGCTTGGACGGTCACCCAGCAATTGGATTACTTCCTTAAGCTGGTGGAAGAAAGGTGACATGATCCTCAGGAGGCCCAAAAGGCCACTGATGCGATCTTGACACTGCACACGAGGCAGTTTAAGTCAATAAGGGAGGCCACTGACGCTGTAGAGCGTCTGGTCTGTGTCCCTGGGGTGCGCTATGACCCCCAGGTTCTACTCACCTCCTACCTGAGATGCTTTTCTATGCCTCTCAGGAATCAGTTGGCAGGTGAGGCCAACATCAATATTCACAACTTCCCCTCATTCAGCAAGAAGGCCCTAGACCTTGAAGCGAAGATAGGGCATGGACACAATCCCACAACAGACGATAGGAAAAAGACACTACCTCCCAACTGGAAGGCGAAGGGGCGCATTCTGTTTGTCGATAACAATGGTTCAACCATCGAGTTAGATGACAACTTCTAGGAGGGAGTAGGTTCAGAGGCTGGCAGCGTAGAAACTTCAGGGGGTGGAGTAGTCACTGACGTAGCTCAGAAAGGTAAGGCTACCGGTAGACGCCGTGGAGGCTCCCGGTCTAGGAGTCAAGTTGACCCCAATGCTCCTCCATGGGAGAAAGCGGGTCTCACAAAGGACGTGTGGAGGGACCGCCAGATTGCGTAAGTTCAAAGTTGGTAGTCTGATTGAGTCCCACGGATGCATGTGTGCAGCCATGTTCTATTACTATAAGCAAAATCACGAGGAGGGTATGTATCTAGTTTGTCTCTGCTGCAGGCGAGCCGGTGAAAATGCCGCCGGAGATAGAGGGAGTAGTTGCCAAGTACCCTGATCTATTTGAAGAGCCGACAGGGGTTGTAGAGAGGGAGGTCGTCCACGCGAAAGAGATTATCCCAGGGTCTAGCATCCCGAAGGGTAGGATCTATCGGATGTCTCCAGGCGAGCTCGATGAGCTTCGCCGGCAACTCAAGGAACTCGTAGAGAAGGGTTGGATCCGGCCGAGTGTCTCTCCTTATGGGTCTCCAATACTATTTTTACCTAAGAAGGAGGAGGGAGCACTTAGGATGTGCATTGACTATAGGGGCCTCAATGCCATCACTGTTAAGAACAGAGAGCCCCTACCGCACATCGACGATTTGCTAGATAGAGTGCAAGGGTGTCGGTACTTTAGTAAGATATATCTGAAGTCCGGGTACCATCCGATTGCAATCCGGCCCGAGGATCAACACAAAACCGCATTTCAGACCAGGTACGGTCTGTACAAGTTTGTGGTGATGCCTTTCGGTCTTTGCAATGCTCCTGGCACCTTTCAGCACGCTATGAATCGGATATTCCGTGACTACTTGGATAAGTTTGTCATCGTGTACCTCGATGACATACTTATTTTTAGTAAGATTGTCGAGGAGCACGTTGCTCACTTGGACAAAGTCCTCAGTCTCCTAAGACAGCACACGTTCAAGATCAACGGTGAGAAGCGCGAGTTTGGCCGCACCCGTGTCTTGTACTTGGGTCATGAGATTTCCGCGGAAGGGTTGAAGCCCGATGACGCGAAGGTGGCCAGCATTCGTGATTGGCCGCGTCCTCAGTCTGTGACTGAGATGAGATCTTTCTTAGGGATGACCGGCTACTATCGCAACTTCGTGAAGAACTATAGCATAGTTGCCGCCCCTTTGACTCATCTGACCCGCCTTGACACCCCATGGGAGTGGACTGAGAGATGCGAGGCTGCTTTTAGACATTTGAAGCATGCGTTGACGCATTAATAAGTCTTAAAACTTCATGATCCTGACAAGCCATTTATAATGACTACGAATGCTAGCCAATATGGCATAGGCGCCGTACTTGCACAACAGGAGGGGAAAAAGTTGAGGCCTATCGAGTACATGTCCAAAAAGATGTCATCTCATAAGTTGGCAAAGTCCACCTATGAGAAGGAGCTCTATGTTGTGTACAAGGCTCTGACCCATTGGAGACACTATCTCCTCGGGAGGTTCTTCATCCTCAGGACTGACCATCAGACCTTGAGATGGATGAGAACTCAGCTGGTACTCTCTTACGCTCTCAAGCGTTGGATCGAAGTCATAGAGCAGTATGACTTCGAACCCCAGTACATCAAGGGCGAGTACAACAAGGTTGCTGATGCCTTGTCGCGTAGACCTGGTTTCTCAGGTGCGCTGATCACTGAGTTTGGGCTTGTGGACAATGCTACTCAGTCCATGGTGGAAGCCTATCGCGAGGATCCGTTCATGTCGGAGATCATCCGCAGACTCGAGGCGAAGGAGAAAGTCACTTCTGTCGAGTTTGAGTTGGTCAACGGCTTGCTGTTCCTTGACAAGGCCGGGAATAAACGTTTGTGTGTTCCTAATAGGGAGTCTTTGCGTAGTTTGTTTTTAGGAGAAAGTCATGATGCCACCGGACATTTTGACTTTAAGAAGACTGCAGCCAATCTGTTGCAGCGATTTTGGTGGCCCGCGATGATGAGAGATGCGAAATTGTACGTGGAGACTTGTCAGGTCTGTCAAAGAGACAAGCCACGTACTCGGGCTCCTCTTGGGCTCCTGAAGCCCCTTCCGATTCCGGAAAGGCCTGGTGAAAGCTTGTCCATGGACTTCATGGATACACTGGTCACCAGCAAGAGTGGGATGAGACACATCTTCGTTATTGTGGATAGATTTAGTAAGTATGCTAGGTTAGTAGCGATGACGGAAACAGCAAAAACGGAGTATGTGATTAGAATGTTCAAAGAGAAATGGGTCAGGGATTTTGGTTTACCGAAGTCTATCATAAGTGACAGGGATGTCCGATTCACCAGCGAGTTGTGGAAGGCCGCCGCTGCGGAACAGGGAACACAGTTGCAAATGACTTCTGGGAATCGCCCAGAGGCCAATGGCCAAGCCGAGCAACTGAACCGCGCTGTCCAACACCTGTTGAGGCATTACATCAAGCCCAACCAGGTGGACAGGGATAAGAAGCTTGCTCTCATCGCCAACATGTACAACAACGCGATACACAACGCTACCGGGGTGAGCCCAAACAGCTTATTACTGACTTTTAAGCCTAGACTACCCTTGGATTTCCTCCTTCCTGAGAAACAGGTAGCTGCTGCTCCGGGTACCTTAGAATTTGCTTACCGGTACGAACAGAAGATGCAGCAGGCTGTAGAACAGATGCAGAAGGCACAGGCGGCTATGATAGAATTTGAGAACAAACATCGCAATGAGTCTTCATTTCAGGTTGGGGACAGAGTCTGGGTTAAGTCCTCAGAACTAGGACAGGAGCACGGGATCTCCCGCAAGCTCATGCCACAATACTTTGGACCATGAGAAGTCTTAGATATTGTTGAGACTGATCCGGATGGACCTTCTTACGTAGTCTGGATCCTTGGTCATCTTCGTACTTACCCCGTCTTCACGCCTCCAAACTTGCACCTTTTAAAGAAACTGATCGGTTCCCCTGTCGTCGCTCAATGCTGCCCCCAACCATGGACGGAGAGGTGGATATCGATGATCTCGTGGACCACAGGGAGCTGCCAGTGTCAAGGTCAACAAGGCAGGGGACGTCCTCCGAAACCGAAGCTGTAGTTCCTCGTTCGGTTCCGGCATCACACTGATCCGAAGGAGGACCGCTGGTTCACACGGGAGGAACTCATGCAGACCGCTCCGCAAGTTGTAGCCCACTACGAAAAATCTCTACAGAAGGGAAAGCGCCCAGTGTTTCAAGACTGAGCTTCTTAGAGGACTGTAGAAGCTAAGGAGGAGGGAATGCGAGGCCACTACCTCTATGAGCCCCATTCGGCCCCATTTTGGAGCAAGTCGGCCGTCCTAAGTGAAGGCAGGCTCGACGAGGCCCTCAAGGCCCTATTTTCGGCCACTTTGCAACTAAGGAAATTCAAGCAGTTGTGCAGCGCCAGTTGGTTGAGAGAACCCAGGCCCTGGGCCGCCTGTGTGAATGAATGGAAAGCAGGTCGTGGGCTGGATACGGGTACTGGGTCAAATACAGACCAAAGGCAGTTGGGTGCATGCAACCACCTCAGGCCCAAGGCTTGTTCTCGTTCGTGCTGGGCCTCGGGCTATTGGGGCCTTCTGGAAGCTTCCTGGGAAAAACGCAGGCAGGCCACTTTGATATAGCAAAGGGCCTGCCTCCAGATCGGGCATTCGGGTGCTGGCTGCATGTTGCGCAAGCGCTGCTGCTGCACTATTTGTTGGCTAGCGCTCACACGCTCACGGGCGAGCAGGAAGGACCGGGCAGCCAAAGCCGAGTTGCGTTGCTGTAAGCTAGGTGTGGCGCAGGGTGGTCCTTGGGTGCAAGTGGCATCTGTGCGTTGAGGAACGAGGTTGTCAGTGAGGCGAGAGACATACCTGGTGCTGGAAGCGTGCGACATTGGTCGTTGTATGCTCGTACTTCGGGAAAGTTGTTGACGTCATCTTCGGCATTGTAGTTCAGGCTAGATAGGATCTGCCATCTGTAGTCTAGGCGCCAAGCGCCAGATAGGATATCAACATTGGTTCTTCGTTGACGATGATGATGAGACTTTACCAGCATTGTCAATTATGAGCTCTTGGTGTGTTCTTGTTTGGTGAAACTCGTGATGCAATTTGTTGTTGGTTCGAGATCACGACTATCTGGTCTTGTGTACATGATGTTGTTTGATTGCTGAAGTTCGCTATTGCTCATCTTCCTTGCAATTATATCATATATAAATATATGATATGATTAATATGATAAAAATGTAATGCCTCGGCAAGTGTTGCACCGCATTTTTCATCTGTTCGGCTTGGCCGCTGACTTCGGGATGTTTCCCCAAAGTCGTTTGGAGTTGACTGCCCATCCGTTCAGCAGCCTTCTTCCACATTTCACTCGTGAACCGGACATCTCTGTCACTAACAATAGACTTCGGCAGTCCAAAATCACGCACACAGTTATCCATGAATAACTTGATGGCGTGTTCAGTCCTTGCGGTTTCTGGCATGTCAATTAGTCTAGAGTACTGAGTGAACCTGTCCACTACGACGAAGATGTGCCGCTTGCCACTCTTGCTGGTCACAAGAGTATCCATGAAGTTCATGGAAACACTATGTCCCGGACCCGCCGGAATAGGTAATGCCTTCAATAACCCAAGTGTTGCTTGAGTTCGCAGCTTATTCTGTTGACAGACTTGGCAAGTCTGAAAGTACTTTTTCGCATCGTCAAGCATACTAGGCCACCAGAAACGATGTACTAGGTTAGCACTAGTCTTCTTATATCCAAAATAAACTACGCAGAATCTCACTAGACGGAACACACAATCTCTTAAACCCTACCTTCTAAAAAAAGAGTAACCCATCCACCATCACAAACTCATCTGATGCGGCCTTATTTTGAGCCTCTTGTCTGCGGCTGATGTCCATCATGACGGGATCTTCCTTGTAGGCGTCCACCATCAATCGAGTTACTTCACCAGATAGCCCAAACTCAGTAATTGACGCACCTAAGTAGTCTGCCCTACGTGACAACGCATCAGCAACCTTGTTGTACTCTCCCTTCACATAGTCAAGCTTGAAGTCATGTTGATCTACGACTTGGATCCAGCGTTTGAGTGCATCGGAGAGAACAGGTTGTGTCTTGATCCACTTGAGTGTCTGATCGCTGGTCCTCAAGTAGAAGAACCTTCCCAACAGATAGTGTCTCCAGTGGACAAGGGCCTTGTAAAGGGCGTAGAGTTCTCTCTCATAGGCGGAGTTCGCCCACTTCTTTGATGGCATCTTCTTACTCATATACTCTATGGCCTTAAAACTTCTTCCCCTCCTGTCGAGCCAATGTGCGCCTATGTCGTATTGGCTTGCATCAGCGGTCACGACAAATGGCCTCTCCGAATTGGGGACCATGAGAATCTCATGATTTGTGAGAGCATACTTCAACCTTTTGAAGGTTGCCTCACATTGGTCCGTCCATTCCAATGACGTGTCAAGGCATGTTAGATCAATCAAAGGGGCGACCACTGTGCTGTAGTTCTTTACGAAGTTACAGTTGTAGTCGGTCATCCCTAAGAAAGATCTGACCTCGGTAACAGAATGAGGTCGTGGCCAGTCAGGAATACTAACCACTTTCGCATCTTCGAGCCTTATCGCTTCCACGGATATCTCATGACCCAAGTACAAGATTTTAGTGCGTCCGAATTCGCATTTCCTTAGATTAATCTTATACTTGTGTTCTCGCATATCTCATGACCCAAGCAAAAGATTTTTGTGCGACCGCAGATATCTCATGACCCAAGTACAAGTGTTGTTTCTACATGATGAGTATGCTCCTTGACTGTTCTACTGAAGATAAGAATATCGTCGAGGTACACGGCAATAAACGTATCCAAGTGGTCATAAAACACATGTTCATGGCATGCTGGAATGTTCCCGATGCATTGCAAAGGCCAAAGGGCATCACCACATGCGGGAATGCGGATTTGTGTTGGTCCTCGGGCCTGGTAGTCGAACTTCAAGTCTATCTTTGTGAAGTACTTGGATCCCTCCACCCTATCCAATAGGTCGTCGATGCCAGGTAGAGGCCCTGTGTTTTTAGCGGTGATGGCATTGAGGCCTCTATAATCAATGCACATCCTTAGTGGCCCCCCCTTCTTCGGAACAAATAGAACTGGTGAGCTGAAGGGGGAGGTACTAGGCCGAATCCAACCCTTCTTTATGAGCTCAAACAGTTGCCGACGAAGATCGCCCAACTCAGTCGGAGCCATCCCGTAGATTCTCCCCTTTGGTGTCTTGCTACCTGGGATGATCTCTGTGGCATGGGCGACCTCCCCGTCTACGACTCCTGAAGGCTCCTCAAACATATTGGGTACTTAGCAACAACAACTTCTATCTCTAGGGGTGATTTAACGACCTCCCCTTTCTGAGACAAAGACTAATTACATACCCTCCTCTTGGTTCTATTTATAAAAATTATAGAAAGAAGATGCACACACTCGCCCGTAGGAGTCAACTAACCTGCAAATCTAATGGTCCTCCCATCAGGCGACGCATGTTTGAGCACTTTTCGGACCCAATCAAACTAGGGTTTCGCAACCTCGAGGTAGCAAGAACGAAATCTGATGAAGTTCCCCACGTCCATAAGAGAAGGTGTAGACCACGTCCCTAACGTAGTCCTTTACCATCATGCACTCTTTGTTGGCTACAGTAGCTGCTATAGGCCTAATCAAGCTCTGCACCCGGTCCCCTATGTGCAGTCTTTCAACGCAGTCGCGACTTATGAAGTTCCGCGTGGAGCTGATGTCTACGAAGCAATGTTGGACGCCCGGCCGTGACCGGGGGGTCCAAGTCGGCCGCCGCCTAGGCCGATGACCGAATCGGCCCGGTTCGGCCTAGGCCGACCTGCCGAGTTCGGTGCAGTATTTTTTTTTCCCATTTTTTACGTGTAAAAAAAAAAAAAACAAATATGGGCGTGTAGGGCTGGAAAAGCCCTACACGCCCATATTTTTTTTTTGGGTGCCCGACCTTCGGCGCAGCGCAGAAAAATAAAAACAAAACCAAAAAAAATAAATAAATAAAAGGCCCGGTGGGCCATTTTGGCCCTGTTTTGGTGCCAGCGAGTGAGGGGCACCATGTGGGCAGTCGGCAGTGCGGGGAGGGCGGCGGGTCCAGGCCCAGGCCACGGCAAAATTGTTGCCGTTTCAGATAAATGGCAATTATCTGAAACGGCAACAGTTGTTGCTGTGGCCATTATGCTGTCCAAATGCCTGCTCACCACTCTGTGTGTGTGTGTGTGTGTGTGTGAGAGAGAGAGAGAG